TTGTTGAGAGAAAGTCACAGGCAGAGTGAGAGCAGTCAGGGTGATAAATGGACAGTCAGCTGTTCACAGGCAGCCCTGTGGGCCCTGGGTTGCTATGGGAGCAGGAAAGACATTCAGCAGTCCTGCTTGACTAACTAACCTAGTTTCGTGGCAGGGCTTGTGGGCTCCAGCCTGGGAGAAGGAGCTTTAGCCAGCTGATACCAGAGCCAGCATGCCGCCCATGGCCACAGCCCAGCTAGAGCCTTTGTGTGACTCTCCATTTGCTATTTCCCTTTTTAGTGCTAAGGAAAGGGAAGAGAGGTCCCCTCCCCCCTTGATGCTTTACAGAGTTGGAAGGACTTTCATTTTCTCTCAGTACTTTAACACCTCTGCCACACAGTCCATCCCCCAAAGAGAAGCCTCTGAGTAAATGTGCCATGACAAGCACAGCTTGGGGTTGACTTAACCGCTGTACCGGAGGCCGAGATGGTTTTAACACCTCTCTCAAAGTGAGCACACCCTGGCACGGCTTAGGTTTCTGAATCTTTATTCGGAGTGGGGAGTTCTGTCAGCAAGAACATGTGAGTTGCAGTGCACCTCAACCGGCTTGAGACCTCGGCAGTGGAAATTCTTCACACGTGAGCTCTCTCCCAGAGTACCAGCAACCCGAGGCCTGCAGCCTGGAGGAGGCGGCTTGCTGAATTCTTGCAGAAGTCTTTCTGCTGTGTCCTGTTGAACCTCCATGCTGCAGAGAGTATCTTATTGTCCCTGTCCAAGGATGCTTTCTTCTGCAGAACTCCCGGGTTTGTGGGGTGAACAGAATTTGCAGGTGGAGTTGTAGACAACATGGCTTGTTTTATCTGCAGTCAGGCTTCAAGTTTTTTCTCTCTAGATGAGGATTACTGGGTTGGAGTGAGTGCCCTATGAACATTACTTGACTGACCAGCCAGAGGAGTTGTGGAAACTCCCTGTTGGGCACATTATGGGAACTTAGGTGCACAGTTATTTATATTGCCTGCCCATGAAGTAGATCCACGTGAGTCTCTTAGTATATGAGAAGCATAAGTCCAGAGGTTCCTAGGTTATTATGGGATCAGTGACCTTGAGTTTGTGAAATTAAACCAAAGGATCTAAAGAAGAATTGTAGCTCAGTTTCTAGAAGTTGAAGAGCACCTATACCCTGTCCGTCCCTGACACTTCCTGTAAGGTCTTTGTGCGCTTGGTTGAACTGGCCATTTATTTTGCGGTTTTGAGGCTGTTCTCTTGGCAGGGATAATGCCTGGTCTGACGTGCACCTCCTTGAAACTAAGGAATTAAGGTGATTATAAGTTAGCACACCTTCCTAGTCGTCACCAACCCACTCAACACAGTCAGGCAGGTTTGCTGGCAGATCTGTGACTGAGAACATAAGCTTTGGCCAGGATTTTGGATTTCCAGAGCGTCATAACAAAGTCAGTCTTTAAGCCTTATTTTTTACCTCTTGGACCAGGACAATGCTGAGGCCCAGTGTGTGTGTGTGTGTGGGGGGGGTGGTCCCCATCGGGGCTCTCGTCCTGAGCACTGCTGGTCTCAGCACCCCTCAGGATCACTCTTCTCCCTGAACAGCTTCCAGACTCTTCTTTGTGCTAACCTGGAGACTGGAAATCGCGGGCCTCTGCATTATGCTCCTGTAAAAGCCTTTACCTCCTGACGCTCACTCGGGAGGATGAGTTAATGCTGAGTGCTGCGGCCATCCGCAAGGGTCTCTTGAGTTACGGTGTTTGGGTATCAGTTTGATGTTCCCTGAGTACGCAAGAGAGTGAAAACCGTGTTGCTTCTCCTGGGGGAGGTGGTTGCCTTTAATTAAAGCCATAGTTAACTTGTAATTATTCAAAGATAATTACAGAGTGAGAATCACGAAGACCTTCACTGCTGCCTCAAAAAAATCCCCTCACTTAAAGATGCTGCCAGGCTGTGTTGGACAGCAGTGGCCCAGGTCTTTAATCCCAACACTCAGGAGACAAGAACAGGTGGTTCTCTGTGAGTTCAAGGCCAGCTGATCTATAGAACTAGGTCCAGGACAGCCAGGGCTACACACATGTGTTCTCTCTCTCTCTCTCTCTCTCTCTCTCTCTCTCTCCCCCAGACCGGTGAGATGGCTCAGCAGGTGAAGTGAATTGTGTGTAAGTCTGGAACCCAGAGTTGAAGTCCATAAAAATGGAAGGCGAGAGTAAAGCCATTAGTCAGTATGTGACAGCCACATCATGTATGTGTGCATGAACACAGACATGCCAGTGATGTAGTAACAGTAACAAAGGATAGTGCCCAATGGCTGTACTGCCAGCAAAAGCTCAAGTTTGTTTAATTCCTGGAAACTGAAATGTGTCTGGCCCATACACTGTACACGTATGTATGCACACACAGCAATTCTTCCGTTTCCCCTGCCTTGCCCTGTACTTAGTTTGAAATAGTCTGCAAAGGTTCCACTCGTGGTCTGGATGATGGCACTGCTTACTTTTGAAATTTGCCTTGCCCTTAATGTCAGAGGGACTACGGAAAAAATATTTCTGGATAAAATAGATTGTCCAGGACCCTTCCAGAAACAACCCTTGAGCTACTGCAGATGTGTAACAAGTTAATTCCGAAGTGAACCAGAAGCTCGCAATGCTGTTAGCTGCATAAAGAAAAAAGCCAGCCTGGAACGGGTCACCGACCTTCCCTCTGTGAACTGGTTCTTTTGCCCTCTGCCTTGGTGAAAGAGACCACAGACAGTATGGGTGAGTCTCCCAGTCTGGACTCAGGCCCACCCAGCAGACAGTCATGACTGCCTTCTACTCACTACATCGAGATTTTCAGCTGAACAGTGGCAGCGAGTTAAATTAACAATCTTTGGTGTTGCTTTATAATGCATGGTTCTAGCCATGCTTGTGCCTTAAGTCTCAGCCCCAGGGAAGCAGAGGTGGGGACACTGTAGTTTAGATTAACTTATTTTCTCAAATTGTTTTTGTATATATTTTTTTAGTGTTAAATATAAGAAAAATTTTGCCAAAGAAGTAAAAAAAGAGAAAATACTGGTCTGGGTGTTAGTGTCAGAGGAGGCAGAGGCAGACATAACTCTGAGTTCGAGGCCAGACTGGCTGCAGAATTAGTTCTGGGACAACCTGGGCTACACAGAGAAACCCTGTCCTGAAAAACCTGAATACATACATACTATTGCTTGTATTAATGGCTGTGTTTTAATATAAAATATTTGCAGTACACATTTAAGTACCAGGAGAGAGTGACAGTGATGTTCTGCTCTAATGGAACCCTGTTCTAGAAGCAATGGCCAGCTGACACGTTGGGCAGGCACATAGTTAGTGGACTTGAGGGACGTCTTTATAGTGGGTGACATTTGAATTCATCTGAATCTGTTGAAAATTGAAAGTTAGGGTGCAGGTATGTGGTTAAGGTCGGGGGGTGCAGAGGAGGTAGAGGGAGAGAGGGCAGAGGTTTGTGGCTGGCAAGGAAGCAGATCCACTCCTAGGCCGTGGCCTGGTGTGACAGTTTGGGGTGATTTGTAGGGTGGCCCAGTAGGGCAGCACGAAGGCCAGTCCTGGAGGAATGATTTCCTTTCGGTAGAGGGGGTCTGAGTGCAGGTTAGCAGAAGGTGTTCTTGGGCAGTGGGGAATGGCCAAGTGCTTGCAACAGACCTGCGGGGCATTGTCAGGGAATTCTAATGCCAAAGCAAAGATTTGGTGGCCACTCTGTAGTCTAAGGAGCCATCAATGATTGTCATTTTAGATATGGAGAGTTACATAAGAATCAGGACTGTAAACCCAGTCAATAAAGGAAGGCTGACTTAGAAGATTAAGATGGGGAGACATGGAGACCAGGCGGCTCTCATCACAAGATTGGAAGCATGGGAGAGCATTGGAGAGGGCATTTGACGTCAGCTAGCATCGGGGAAGGCAGATAGACACAGCCAAGGCAATCAAGTGTTTTCTTTTGCTCAGATAGTTCAGATAGGAAAGTCTTAGCAGAACCCCTGAAGCAGGTCAAGAAGACAAAGTCTTTTTATAATTTCTCTTATTACCCATTATTCAATGTAGATCACAAAGGGAGGTCTGGAGAAGGCAGGCAGTTTGGGTCATATGGAGCTTTCAGAATGAATCCGTCTCCGATTTGCCTGTCAGTGAGTTCATTTTAACCAGGTTGATAACACATCCGAAGCTGCAGGATATATTTTTATGTGGTATGAATTGGACTGTATGACATCCTTAGTATAGAGAACTGACGTCTATAGCTGGATTCTTCATCCTGCCATTTGAAATGAGCACAAATCATCTTTCTGAGTTTAAATGCTAAGATGCCCCCAGAGTAGATCAAAAATCTTTTATTGAATTTTCTCTATAGACAAGGATGGCCTCCTCAGTAGTGGGATTACTGGTGTGATCCCTTCGGACTTGTGTTCGTCCCCTCCCACATCCCTTTCCTCTCCCTCCTTGTATTTATTTTTAATTTTAAGAAGATTTATTTATTATGTATACAGTGTTCTGCCTGTATGTATGCCTGCCAGACAGGAGGGGGCACCAGATCTCATTATAGATGACTGTGAGCCACCACGTAGTTGCTGGGAATTGAACTCGGGACCTCTACAAGAGCAGCCAGTGCTCTTAACCTTGGAGCCATCTCTCCAGTCCCCTTTTTTATTTTGAAGTGTGTGCCAGCTGTTCGTGGAGTGCGAGAGCTGTGTGCGCACCCATAGGTGTTCACAGAGCCCAGAAGAGGTGTTGGAGATGGACTCACGGGCAGCTGTGAGCTATGTCTGAGCCGCTAGACGTAGGTCCCAGGAACGGAACTCGGGTCCTGTGCAAGAGCAGTGTGCACTCCTAACTGCCAGGTCATCTTTGCAATCCCAGGTGTGCCTTCTTTAGTGACCCCCCTGCTACCACATCTTTGTGGGCCTATTGTTCTTCCTCCTGCCACACCCATGTGTGCTCAACGAGACTCAGATACTGATAGTTTTTGTTATTGTTGTTCTTTTGTGGCATTTGGAAAAGCTTGTACAATGAAGATAGAAACCTGCTTCGGATTCGAGAGAAGGAGAGACGCAATCAAGAAGCTCACCAAGAGAAAGAGGTGTTTACTGAGAAGACGCCGCTGTTTGGAGAGCCCTACAAGGTATTCACTGGGTGTGAGAGGGAGAAAGGCTGGCCTATCATAACATAAAGCTCGAAGATAAAGCTATTCAGCACCACTGAGTTCAATCGGGGGTCATAACTAAGAAAATAACTTATCCCAGAGGTTGTTTTTGAAAACAAAATCTGAACTCTTTGAACATGGTTAGTCAGAATTACCAAAGTGTGTGGTTTTCTTTTGTAATGTTAGTCTCCTGTAATTAGTAATGTGTGTCCGTGGCAGGCTGCTCCGCGGGGGACATCGTTAACAGGGCGTTACATGTTAAGTCGAGGGGGTTTCTTCTTACTGCGATTGCAGAATAGTTTATTAAGTGGTTGCTCCGCGTGGATTTGTTTCCGCAGTCTGAGCCCGCTGTCTTTCTGTTTGTAGACGGCTAAAGGCGATGAGTTGTCGAGTCGCATACAGAACATGCTAGGCGACTACGAGGAGATGAAGGAGTTTCTGAGCGCCAAGTCGTGCCCTCAGCTGCTGGAGGGCGCGGAAGACAGGCCAGGGAAGCCGAGATACCCTTCACTTCATGACAGGGGCAACAGCCTTGCCTCCCACTCCTTCCGCACACATGTCTACCACCAGCCTATTTCTACTTCTGCCCCTGGATCACTTTCTGTCGGTAACATTAGCCACAGTCCAAAGATGGCACCGCCAAGGATGGAACCAGTGCCAAGTCTCCACGCCAAAAGCTATGGCCCGCCCGACAGCCAGCGTCTGACTCAAGATCGCCTCAGTCAGGAAGGGCACTGTTCCAGCCACAGAAAGTATGACCGCAGAGCTGATGGTGACTCAGCTCCGGAGATGAAGCTCTCACCCTTAATCTCCTCATTGCCATCCCCTGTGCCCCCTTTGTCACCTGTACATTCCAGACTGCAAGGACCCAGCAAGGTTCCCAGCAGCAGTGGCACTAGCAGTAAAAGCTACTGTGCAGCTGTGTCTTCCAAGGACCTGCTGGTGAAGGGTCAGGATAACGAGACTCCTCTTGACAGTTTGGTGGCAGTTACCAGCCTCGGGGTAGCCCCTTCTCAGATGTTTCCACCCCCTCCCCTCCCCTCCAAAAGTGTTGTGATGCAGCAGAAGCCCACGGCATATGTCCGGCCCATGGATGGTCAGGATCAGGCTCCTAGTGAGTCACCGGAGCTGAAGCCACCGCTGGAAGACTATGGACAGCGGAGCTTTGAAAAGCCGGATGCAAAGGTGCCTGCCAAGGCCAGGCTCACCAGACTGAGGATGCCTTCACAGTCAGAGGTGAGTGCCATTCCTTGGAATGTTTCCAGTCAGAGGCGTCTTGAGGTTCAGGTCTTTGGAGGCTCTTGGGTGGGGTACATGGGGCATTCTTTTGGCTTTGGAGTTTATCAGTCCACAAAGAACTCAAATCTCACACAATTGGTAGTAGATACCGGAATTCAAACTTTCTTGTTTTGAAGGACCTGAGAACCTCCTACCTCAGCTCCTCCCTCAGGGCTTCAGCAGGACCCCTGTTCAGCCTGAGTCACATGGTAAAGCATGGAGCCCATGAGTCGGATTAGAGGGTACCCGTGTGTCCCACGACCCAGATGCGTGACATTTCTGATTCCAGATAGTTTGAAACTGTCCCTTTTGTCCTGTTGGGTCCTTACCAGTTTGAAAGAAAACGCAAACAAAAGTGCACGTATTAAAACTTCTTGGGCCCTCCCAGTGTTTGCTAAGGCAAGTAAAATCAAAGTAGTCAGATGGTGAAGGTTTTTAAAAAAAGCTTCATGTTTTTAAAAATTAACTACCTTTATTTATTGAGTGTGTGAGTGTGTTAAGTGTGAGTGTGTGAGTGTGTTACTATGGTGAGTGTGTTGCGTTTGTGAGTGTGTTTGCCTGCACACTTGTGATAGTTGGACCCTTGCCTCCACCGTGTAGGTTTTGGGGACTGAGCATTTGGGTTTGGTGACAAGTGCAGGGTGGTGACTTGCCAGAGTTGGTTCTCTCCACCACATGTATCTGGGATCGGCTGTCCCTCTTGGCAGCAGGCACCTCTGCCCACCGAGCCGTGTCATCAGCCCCCTACCTTTCTCTTTTTTTTAAAAAGATTTATTTATTTATTATGTATACAACATTTTGCTTCCATGTATACCCACACACCAGAAAAGGGCACCAGATCTCATTACAGATGGTTGTGAGCCATCATATGGTTGCTGGGAATTGAACTCACGACCTCTGGAAGAGCAGTCAGTGCTCTCAACCACTGAGCCATCTCTCCAGCCCCTACCTTTCTCTTAAGGCTGAGTTCCGCTCTCAGCCTAGCCAGTCTTCCCCCTCCCCATCATGTGGATGCAGCGTCTGCATGTACAAAAAGCTCACAAGAACTTCTTGAGTAAACTGGCACAGTATGGTTAAAGTCTTGTTCAGGCTTTCACAGAAATTCAAGACATTATCCAGTACAAGCCTATTTTATTAGTGAATATGTCCTTTTGTGAATTCCTCAGTAAGTGAATAATGAATTTCAGCCGTGGGGTTTGGCTCTGCATGCTCGTCTCCCAGGCTGCTCCGCACTGCTGGACTTTTCTCCAGTCTCCAGGAGCTAAGGCTAGCCACCACCCCACTTCTCACTCCTTCTTACCTTTAATTTTTTTTTCTCCTAAAACCTCTAGCCCCAAAATTACTTTCACTAATACCTAAAGTGCTTCAATATTCAGCTTAGAAATACAGCGTGCAGGGCCTGGTCTGATGGTGCTCGCCTTTCCCGGGAGGCAGAGAAGGGTGCAGGGCCTGGTCTGATGGTGCTCGCCTTTCCCGGGAGGAACTGTAAGCTTTCTGACCTAGTGATGGGGATTCCAGAAGAGACCGCACACGGGTCTGGATTCTGTACCCAGGCTGTCATCCGTTCACTTTCCCCGTTTGGGTTTTCGGTGTTGCCAACTGAGAATCTGAGATGCGGATGGTAAAAGTCCCTCAGCGACTCGATGACCCGCCAGACATGAAAGACGTTAGAAACATTTTGTTAAGAATGTCCAGATTAACTGATAGGAAAATAATTCTTTCCAAAGCTCACAAGTTCTCAGGCATGAAAAAATGTTGGAAATGACTTATGGAATTCTAAGTATACAACAGGATTCTGGAAAACAGCAGACAAAATTCTTCTAAAATACAACAGCAAGTGTCTGTTTTAGGTAGTATGTTAAATGATGCTGATTCTAATCACAACCTCCCAATACGAAATAATAAATGAAGTACCATTTTGACTAGTGCGCATTGTAAACGTGTATTGAAGTGTCAGCTGTTCACAGATATGCAGCTGCTACACGTTAACCAGCTTTTTAAATATTTAAGGAAATGGAAGGGCTAATACTGATACCGCCGGTTCTGAACTACCACACTGCATCCTATACATATGGATAATTACGGTAATAAAAAATAAAAGTGAACTCTAAGGAAAGCCCACAGGTTTGAGACTCTTAAGAATGAGTGCAAGAAGCATAGGTATCACAGAATTCTTCTTTTCTTAATTCATACTTTCAATCCTAAACTCCAAACTATGCCCACTGTGAACTCTTAGAACTGTTATTTATAAATTAGAATTAAAGAGCAAACTGAGGTAATTTGTCTAAAGGAGAGAGCTAGGAATATGACTTCTAATTACTTAAATACTAAGGCCCCTAGATTAAAACATTAAACTTAAATCCTTCAGTCCAGTGGATTAAGGTGATTAGCTGGAGCTTGACAAATTACCATGGGCTAAAGGGGGATGTGCAGGCCGAAAGTAGGCCATGCATAAACAGAAGATGAAGTTCAAGAGAAAAGGCCTGGTTTGTTTGGAGCCTGGACCGCTGTGGGGGAGGGGAGGGCTGTGCTTTGTCAATCTAATGATTTTAACAGCTAAAAATAACAAAATCAGTGTAAAAATAGCTGATTATGGAGTTCCTGGAGAAATATGAACAAGCAGCAAATTTAAACTTGGAAAATAATGATTCCCCCCCCCCCCCCCCAAAGTTGTAGCTCTTGGCTACTGGGAAGGAGAAATGCAAAGCCAAAAAGTAAATTTGCTCTGCCATCCAGGCCCTTGCCTAGGAAGAGTTCTGCATAGATATCTGAGTTCTGCTCATCACACCCGGATGGCCCAAACCAAAAGCATCCCTCCGGCCATCTTAACCTGGTTTTCTGTCCTTGTATTCTAAATGCCGCACACATGGGAGTACCAGCACAGGAAAGAGTTAAATGATTCAGCGAGCTGGAGAGCACGGTGCCAGGCAGGAGACTCCCGGCTGGCAACGTCACTTTTCCAGGGCCCCGGGGGAGTCTCATATCCCTCACAAATGTCTCAAGTGTGAGAACAGCAAGGACGAACAGGAATTTCTCTTCCTGGTACCAAATGTACTTCTGGCAATTTTGAGAAGGAACAAAAAGTGAAAAAAAAACAGTTCCAGCTGATACCACCCCGACAGAGCTTCCAGTTTCAGCTCTGCACCCCCACCCCCCACCCCGGGCTGCTAACAATTTTGTCTTGTCACTCTCTCAACCAGTTCTATCCTTTGCACTAACTTTCTTCCAGCAATTAGAGCTTTTCAAGTTTTTGTTTTTTCTGCAATACTTTTGTCAGAGCTTAACATGGTTTTCAGAATCTTGCCTGACTGCATTGCAGGGGGAGACTGCTTTGCACTAAAACAGGACACTTCCAGGGGACAGAAAGTCTCATTTTATACCTGATCTTGAACTCTCTGGCTTGTAAGTACTGGCTTGAAACACAAAACCCCAGAAAACACACTGGCAAAAACAAAGCAGCTTGTATCCCTGGTCTGTCTGTGAGCAGCTCTTGCTCAAAATGTCTGTAGGTCACTTGTCACTATTTTTAAGTTTCTATATTTAGGTTTGCAGGTCCAGGACCTGGCCAGGCTCCAGAGAGGTCTAGGACACTCATTTTTTGTTCAGTCTTTATCCAACACCCGTAATCTCCTCCTGACTCCTCATTCTGTCCACGTGTCTCAATCACCCTGCGCCCTCCATCATCCCATTCAGTGGCACAGCCACAGAGCTGCAGGCAGTTGGCATGGCAGCTTGCCATTGGCACAAGGACTCTGTCTGGGATCAGAGGAAACTGTCACATCACAGCGACACTGGTCCCAAAGACAAGTTTACGTTTAGTTCGTTGTCCGTAACAGGTACTTCTGTGCCAGGAAGCCCTCTCCGTTCACCGGATCTCAGGAAATACGCCGGGACCGTCTGGCCCAGAGTCCTGTGTCTCAAATACACATTAAGTGGCAAAGACTTCAAAATGTGGGGAAAACCCCCGCTCCCACCCTCAGGAGATCCACACGGTGGAAGGAGAGAACTGATTCCTCAAGTTACCTTCTACCTGCAGCCCTCTGGTAAACAAATGTGAGAATAGAGGTAAAAGAACATAGAATTTGGCGTGGTTTTAAGGAGAGGAATTTGTAATTCTGAGTGGCAGAAAGGCCGGCCATCTTAGTGTCTCTGAAATAGACTAAGAAACTTGACTGAGAGCAGATCAAAGGGACAGTGAGTCCAGGTCAGGATATCCAGCTGGATAGGCCGCCTTCCAAATTTTACTTATTTAACGCAAATTTCAGTGCTTACCATTGAACCTAGGGGCCTCATGCATGCTAGGCTGTATCCCTGCCCCTGTTTGAATCTCTGTGTGTGTGTGTGGGGGGGGGGGGTGTGTGTTTGCCTGCATGCGTGTCTGCATCATTTGTGTGCTTGGTGTCTTCACAGGCCAGAAGAGGTGTCCTGCAGCTGGAATTCTGGATGTTTGTAAACGTCCTCTCCAGCCAACTCTCCAGCCCCCTCCACATTTGATTTTTAAAGGATCGAAAATAATTAAAGCTCAGGAAAAGAGACCACTTGCTTTAGCATCGCCAGTGTTTTAAGAACTAGTTTGCAGTGAAGTGTGTGTTACATATGTAATGCCCGCACAGGGCAGGGGGATCTCGAGTTAGAGTGTACGCAACATGTGTGTAATCCCAGCACAGGGCACAGGGCAGGGGGACTTCGAGTTAGAAACCAGTTCCGACCCATACAAGTAAACAAACCAAGATTACCTGTTTGCCAGTGTCATGGTCTCTGTGTTCCCCTCCTTCCACCGCCTGATATCTCTAGGCAGTGCAGACTTGTGCTCAATCACATCCACTTGGCTTGACAGTTTCTGGAGTAAATATCACACTTTATAAAAACAGGCAATCAGAAATGTTTTTCTTTGATTTTTGATTTCTGAAGAACTTGCTCATTTTCTCTCTCCATTGTTAAAGAACACTGTGACATGT